CTACGGCCATGGCCCAGGGCCGTGTTGCCCACCTAATCGAGTGGAAGGGCTGGTGCAAGCCAGTGGAGTCACCTTCCGCCCTGGAGAGCGCCTTCAGCTCCTACTGCCACCTGAGCGAGGGCGAGCAGGAGGCGCGATTCGCTGCCGGTAGGCACCGCGGGCACGGCCGGGGGGCTGGCCCCACTGCGGCACAGGGCTGGGGCCGTGGGGTGGTCCCCATCCATCCATCCATCCATCCATCCATCCATCCATCCATGGCATCCACCCATCCATCCATCCATCCATCCATCCATCCATCCATCCATCCATCCATCCATCCATCATCTATCCATCCACCCATGCCATGGCATCCATCCCTCCATCCATCCATCCACCCATGCCATGGCACTGTGAGCACAGAGGTGCCAGGGCAGTGGGATTTTGGGAGCCCCTCCCTGCGTGGGTTTGATCCGTGCCTGTCCCGTGCCAGGTGTGGCGGAGCAGTTTGCCATTGCTGAGGCCAAGCTGCGGGCCTGGTCCTCAGTGGATGGGGACGACTCCAATGACGAGTCCTACGATGAGGACTTCCTGCCCTCCACAGAGAGCTCCCAGCCCACCGGTAAGTGCTGTGGGGAGCGGGCCAGTTGTCCCGCTGCTGGTGTGGGTGTCCCACCACTGAGGGACAAAGGAATGGAATGCCCACTGCCTGGCACATTCCCCAGCCCTGTCACTCCCATACAGGGCAGTGCCCCTGCCTTGCACCCTGGCAAACAGTTCCTGAGCCAGGGATGGGGAAGCCCTTAAATGCAACACCTCCGTGGTGCCAGAGAGTGTTTTGCTTTTCCTTTAATGGTTACCAGTGCAACAATTTGTGGGCAAAGCAAGCACGGGACTTCTCCCAACCTGCGGTGCACAGGGCAGGGGGCAGCTGATATCCCTGGTGCCCTCAGCTGTGGACTGAGCCAGACATCCCGATTTCCCACAGAGCTGACAGGCACGATGCCCGCCAGCGCGCTGCTGCGAGACCTGCTGCAGGGCCACCTGTGCCACCTGGGCGTGCGGCACGGCTCCTGCGAGCCCGAGAGCGACTCCTCGCACACCCTCTCCCCTGAGACTCTCTGCTCCAGCCTCTGCAGCCTGGAGATGGTGTCGCCCTCCGAACTCACTGCCAAACTGCTGGGCTCCCTGGGGGGAGAGGACCTGCTGCTGCCCAAGCTGCCGCCCCCAGCCAGCCAAAGTGCCTTGCGGGGCCTGGCACGGCTCCGGTGCCAGGACTCCCTCTACTCCGTGTCCTACGCCGAAGCCTGTCTCTCGCCCACGGAGGACGAGGTGGTGCTGAGCAAGGACTTCCCGCTCCGCCGGAAAATCTCGGACGTCGCCTCCTCCGGGGTGGCATCGCTGGAGGAGGAGGAGGAGGCCGAGGAGCCCTGATGCCTCCTGGGGTGCCCTGCCTCTCCTGGTGGGGGTCCAGGTCTCCTGCTGAAGCCCTCTGGCCAGACCCCACGCTGGGTGAGGGACAGGCCCTGCCGCTGCTCCCCCTCGCTATCCGGGTGCAGGAGGGGTCCGGGGGCCACTGCAGCCCCCCCAGCCAGTGTGCCCCCACTGTGCCCCGGCCCTGCTTGGCCACATCGTTGCCCTCCTGGATTTTTGCATGAGAGCAGGGAAGGGGCGCAGGGAAGGGCTTGGGGAAGTCTGTCCTCTGCCCTGATGCTCAGATGTGCCCCCAAAAACTGACAAGACTAAATAAGTGGGGCTGGTTGTCCGCATGTTCTCCCCCAAACCACCCTGGGCTCCCCTTTTGGGCACAGTTCCCTCTCCCCCAATGGCATGGCTGAAAATCTCCAATCATCCTGTGGTGCCTCTACCACCCCAAGCCAGGGTGGTGGTGGGGGTTTCGGTGTGGGAAGGGCTTTTCTCCTCTCTCCCTGGCCAACTTCTATTGGACCGAGTTTAAAACTGTGAACTGCTGCCTTGGAGCATGGAGCTGCTGGAGGGGTGCTGTGGGGTGCCAGGGGTGCTGGGGGGCTGCGGTGTGCTGCGGTGCTGGGACTTTCTACACTTTTCTAATTGCATGGGGCTGACACAGGAAGACTGCAGGGCCAGGTGGGCGCAGGCCCCCAGGCTGGGGGCTCTGGGCCACCAGAAGAGCAGTCCCACTCCAGCCCTGCAGCAAGGGGGTCAGCCCGGCCAGGGGTCCCCAAGTCTGCTGTGAGGCAATGCAGGGTGGAGAGAGGGGGTAGGACGTGGGACTGATGTCCCTGTCGACAAGTCACTCACCCCTAGCAGGGAACCAAGTGCCTACATGAAGGGCAGCCAGCCCCCCCTGTCCTGGCTGGGGGTGGCACCCCCCACCTCGAGGACCCCCCCAAGCCCACGTGAGGGGTTCCAGGCACGTCGTTTGGGGGAGGAATGCCAGTTTTTGCCAACGCTTGCGCGCCCCTTCCCGCATGGCACGTGTTCTCGTGGGGCCTCTCTCCCCCTGCATGCTGCTCCTCACCCAGCCCCGTCACTGTCCCCTGTCCCCACACCCCGGGATGCCCCCCCAGCACCCACCTCTGCTCCCCTGCATCTCCCAGCACCCCAACAACCCCCGCCAGGCACAGCTCCTGTTCTCCCTCCCTGCCAGGGGGTGCCTGCTGCGGGGCTGGCACCACCGAGGGGCTGCGGGGGCCACGCTGCTGGCACCTGCCACCCTCTGCCACCCTCTGCCACCCGCTGCCAGGGCAGGGGATGCTCCTGGCGGTGCCGGGCTGGGGCAGCGGGGTGCCTGTGGGTGGCTGGGGGCTTTGCTCTGTGTGTGTGTGCATGTGCACACCGGGGAGCGCATGGGCATGGGCACGCGTGTGTGCATACCTGCGGGAGCTGCCTGAGCCCCCCGCCCCGCCGTGGAGTATCCACGGGGTGCCCACACCGCGGCACCCCCTCCTCCATCCTGCCGGGTCTTGAATAAAGTCAATTGTGCGAGCGCTGCACCGGGCGCCTCTTCTTGCAGGTGACGGGGACTCGGGGGTGGCAGGGACACATCATCCCCCTCCGCGGCCCCACCGGGTGCCGGAGGCCTGGTCCCTTATCTCGCATTCCTGCGGACAGGGTGCCTAATTATGGGCATCTGGCGGCGGTGGCTGGCGGGCCCGGACCCTCCCCACGGCAGGGCCGGGGCGCGGGCAGCAGGCGCCATGGCATCGCTCAGCTCAGCCTCCACCTTCCGTGCCGAGCTCCTCAGCGCCTACGGGCAGGGCCACGGCGAGCCCCGCTTCGAGGGCGACCGGCGGCATGCAGCCTTTGGGGCACAGGAGGCATTTGGGTACCCAGGTACCGGGGGTGGAGGGCAGGGCGGGGGGCCCCAGGGTGTGGTGGCCCTGCTACCCTGGGGGAGCCCTGCTCCCTTGGGATGGTCCCCCCAAGGGTTATCCAGCTGGCCTGTGCCTGGGGACAGCGGGGAATCCTCCCCCCAGCACCGGCTGGGAGGGCTCAGAGGGAACCCTGGCTGCCCCCCGGTGCCCCATGGCTCTCTGCACTGCCCTCCAGCTCTTACTGCCCAAGTGCTTTTGTGCTCCCGCTCTAAGTCCCCAGTAACTCCAGTGTCCCTGCTGTCCCCAGGACCACCATGCTGCCTCCTTCTCCTCCCCAGACCCATTTGATTCTCCTTTTGTCCCCAGAACCCCTATAGCTTTTCCTCCCCAACCCAGACCATCACCTCCCCTGTCCCCACACCCCTTGATGTCACCTGCTAGGCCCCCACTTTCTTGTACATCCCCAGTAACTCTAGTGTCCTTCTCCCCCCCAGACCTTTGTGGTCATCCCCAGTGTCTTCACCCTCCTGTGTTATTCCCCTCAGGTTGTCCAGTGCCCCTGGAATCTGCCAGTGCTCTCAGCTGCCTCCAGGCCCCCAGTACCCCTTTACCCCTGGGACCCCCAGTTCCCCCTGCACTTCCCCAGCACCTTCAATATCCCCCACTCCCACCTGCTACCCCCGGCCCTCCCTCCCCCAGTGTCACCAGACTCTCCCACAGCCCCCAGTGCCCAGCCCCGGGGCACTGTGGCTCCATGCCCAGCAGCCCCCCAATGCCCACAGAGTCCCCAGGTGCCATGTACCCCTGCAGCCTGGGCACCTGGGTGCGTGCCCAGGGTGACACCTACCAAGTGGTGGCCGACGTCAGCCAGTTTGAGCCCCCTGACATTGTGGTGACCACCTCCAACTGCCATGTCGCCATCCAGGCAGAAAAGGTGAGGCACCCGAGGGGACAGCATCCCCTCTGGCCATGGCACAGTGCGGGTCCTGTCCCGTGACACCCCCTCTGTGGGTGGTGGGGATGGGGTGGTCACTGGGAACAGCCCTTGGCAGCACTGGGGTAAATGGGAGCTGTGCCTAGTGATGGGACAACAGGCAACTCCTGCTCTACTGCACCTGTCCTGTACTGGTGTAACTGGAACTGTCCTCCCTGAGAATGGGACAGCTGGGAACTCCTGCTCCGCTGCCTTCTCTGCTGGAGGTGGCAAGTGGGAATAGTCCCGGCTGGCACTGGAGTAGCTGGAATTTACTCACAAGCCCAACTTGGGCAGCAGAGGCCTGCTTCCTGCTGGCAGTGGAGTAACTGGGAATTACCCTGGCGTCACTGGGATCTTTCCTGTTGAACTCCCTGCTGGAGTCAGGGTGTCCGGGCTGCCCATTAGGAGCACTGGGGTAACTGGGAATGTGCCGTGGAACCCACCGCAGGTGGCTGAGGACGGCACGGTGTGCGACACCTTCACCCACAAGTGCCAGCTGCCCGAAGACACGGACCCGCTGTCGGTGAGCTGCGCGCTGACCGAGGCTGGCACGCTGGTCATCACCGTGCGGCGCCGCGCCAGCGCCGGGCAGCGCCCGCAGCCGCGGCACCGCAGCGAGGCCGCGCTGTGAGCGGCTCTGCGCGGCAAAGGGCGCCTCGCCCGCAGCCACGCCAACCCCAGCACTGTGGTGGAGCTCAGCCGCTGCCCGCTGGCTGTGCCCTTCTCCACCTCCAGCCCCACGGTGCTTCAGCTCTGTTTATAAAGTGCTTTTATTAAATTAATATAAAAATCTCTGTATTTACATGGGGAGAGGTGCACGGCAGAGAGGCAGCAGGACCCCCTGTTCCCAGCTGTGATGTGCTGAGCACAGGGGGCAATGCCCACCCATGTCCCCGTGGACACCCCAACCTGATGCCCCTCTCTGCCCCGTGCCACCCTGAGAAGGGACATTGTGGTGCTCATGGAGGGTGTGAGGGCAGTGGCCCTTCTGGGGGCACCGGGGGCTGGGGGGGTACAGAGGTAGCAAAGTGGGAAGCCCCAGGAGCTGGCAGGTCGCTGGGGAGCAGGGGCTGGCTGGGGGGCATTTGGCTGGTCCCCAGCCCAGGGAGGGAGCAGAGGCACTGGATTGAGAGTGCCCGCTCCTGAGCTGAGCCTGGCTCAGCGGGCTCAGGGCGGGCACACCCCAGCACCTGCCAGGGGGCCCTTGTGGCTTCTGGGGACACAGCGGGGTGGATCTCCAGGGTCTCACTGACCCTTGGGGGTGTTGTCATCATCGTCGCCGCCAGGGCCAGCCTCGCGGGGCATGTGGTGGTGCTGGTGGCGGTCCCAGAGCTGGCGCAGGGCGGTGGTGTCGGCCTCGGTGGTGCTGGCGGTGCTGTCGCGGAAGCTGGCGAGCGGCGGGCGCACCTTCACCCCCTTGCCCGTCAGGGAGCCCTCGATGGCCTTGCGCAGCTGCGGGGACCCCAAAGCCATGGGCAGACAGCTCCAGGTGCTGCCCCGTGCCCCTCCAGCCTCCCTGTGCCCTGCTCACCTCCTTGAGGGACACCATGCCCACCAGCCGCCCGATGCTGGTGACGAATGCGTGGTCCAGGCCCAGCAGAGAGAAGATGGTGTGGGTCTGCAGGAAGAGGGGGCTGAGTTGAGGCTCTGGGGGTGGTGGGTGGGGGTCTGCGGTGGGGTGTGGGCGCACCTTGTGCAGCGAGGTGTGCTCCACCAGCTGGAAGGGTGCGGGGTCGATCTTGGCGCTGCTGAAGTCCACCAGCTGGTCCAGCTGCTGTTCCTCCCACTCCAGGATCTGGGGAGGTGCCATTGGGCAGGGTAAGGGGTACGGACCCCCAGCAAGTGCCAGCAAGGGCCCTCCCATCCTCCTTATACACGGAGTTATGGAGAAACTTGGGTTATCCACCCCCTACCTCCCCACGCCCGCCCCATGCTCTGGCACCCCTTGGGATATCTGGGATCCCTCTGAGCAGGAGGGTCCTGCCTGTTTCTGCCCAACCCCTCACCTCCGTTGGGGTCATCTTGTCACCCAGAATCATCTCCTCCTGCAAGAGAGGTGTGTTGGAGCGGCCCTGAGGGGGCAGGCGGTGCCGCTGCGGGCAGGGAGCAGGGGTGCTGCAGGTGCAGGGGTGCTGCAGGTGCAGGGGGTGCAGGGGGTGCAGGGATACAGCGAGGGTGCAGGCAGCACATGCAGGCAGGGCACAGGCAGGGTACAGGCAGGGTACAGGCAGCGCACGGGCTGGTCAGCTAACGTGATTGGTTGACAGGACATCGGTCACACCCTGATTGGCCACACTTGGACAAGGCAATCTTGTGATTGGTGGAGAGAATGCAAGGTGTGCCGTGATTGGCTGAGCAAAGTGGGGCAGATCCCGCGGTTGTGATGGCTGGAGGCTCCAAATCCCGATTCCAGGAATGTTTGGGATGGGGAGGATGCACACCAGGATTGGTTGGACAGAATCTCAGCTGTCCAAGATGGACTGCACAGACATAGGCCCAACGTGATTGGCCAAGCAGAATCTTGCCAGGCCCCTGATTGGTTCAGAGAACTCCTGCCAGGCTCTGATTGGCCTGGAGGAGCTGTGCCCAGGCTGCGATTGGCTGCAGCTTACCACAATGGAAATGCGGACGCGTTTGGCCTTTTGATAGGCTGTGCCCTGGGCCTGGCCCGCGGGAGAGACAGCAGTTAGGGGATGGGATGGGATGGGATGGGATGGGATGGGATGGGATGGGATGGGACGGGATGGAATGGGATGGGATGGGATGCGAGGATGGGACGGGATGGGACGGGATGGGACGGGATGGGGTAGAAAATGATGGAAAGGGATGGGAAGGGACAGGCAGGGTTGAACAGGAATGGAAAGGGATGTGACAAAAATGGGCAGGGTTAGGAAGGGCCAGACAGGGATGGCAGGGCCAGGCAAGGCCATTCAGGGATGGGAAGGGATGGCAGGGCCAGGCAAGGCCATTCAGGGATGGGAAGGGATGGGAGGGCCAGGCTCTCACCTCGGTGGGCTCTGTGGCGGCGTTGGCACAGAAGAGGCTCTTGAGGGCGATGCCAGCGTGGTCAGCGCTGCCAGCTGCGGGAGGAGAGGGGGTGTCAGTGGCGGGGACACGGGCGGGCCGGGGGCCCATGCAGACTCACCTGGGGGGCTGTCGGCTGGGCTGCTGGGCACCCGCTTCAGCGCCGGCTTCAGGGGCTTGCGGAGCGCGGGGCGGGCAGGGGTCCCCGAGGAGGTCTCTGTGCTGATCTGGGGGGGGATGGCGTGGCAGGGTGACAGTGGCAGGGGCACCCTGCCCGGGCATCCCCCAGACAGCTACACGCCTCACCTGGAAGCGGATGCTGGGGTCGGAGAGCCGGTGCCCGTCCTCGGACAGCGCCTTCTGCCGCAGCGTCATCACCCGGCGCTGGGGACTGAGCTGGCTGCTGAGCAGGGCCCCCACCTGCGTCCGCTCGATGGAGCCCAGCAGGATCATGGACTCTGCCAGGCACAGCAAGGCGCCACGTTGGCTCCTGGTGCTCCCTCTGCCACCCACCCACGGCTGCTGTGGGTGCTGGCAGAGCCCTGCCTGTGTCTCAGTGTCTCACCAGCTGACTCCACCAGTGGCAGGTTCTTCATCTTGGTGCTGTGCAGGACCTGCTGCAGGTCCCGGTACTTGCAGTTGAGGGTGACGTAGCGGATGTCCCTCACCATGATGTCCTCCACCCGCACGTTGTATTTCCTGCCCAGGGACAAGAGCAGTGGCCCCAGAGTGATGCCACCGCCTCCCCTTGTGCCTTGGTGAGGGGTTTGGGGTTGGGACAGGAGACACAAACTCACTCGTGGTGGCCCCAGCCCAGCTCAGGGAGGTAGGGAAGCTTCTTGATACGGATGATGCTGTCGTAGAGGGAGGGCTGGAGGCTCTGGGCGACGGCATTGGCCAGGATGACAGCGATCATGACGGGCAGGATGTGTGAGATCTGCCCCGTCAGCTCGAAGACGATGACGGCCGTGGACACCGTGTGGGTGACAGCACCTGACAGTGCAGCTGCTCCTGCAGCCACCGCCAGGAGAAGGAGGAGAGCCGTCAGGTACTGCCCACCAGGCTAGGTCCCCGCCCTGGCTTCCCCCCTCTAGGGCATCCACCATGTAAGAGGCACCCTTGGGACCACTCCCAGTGGTGGTACCACTCCCAGTTCCAGGGATCATCACCTCAGCTGCGGGGCAGCATCTCCAAAGGACGCCCACCACGGTGTCCCCATTCCAGCTCAGTGCTTACCCACCACGGCGTAGCCCCCCGGCACGATGCGGTAAATGTTGCTGTCCGTGTGGATGCCATCAGGGAACCAGGCTGCCATGCTCTCCCCCACCAGGCGCCCAAAGGCTGCCCCTGCAGGCAGAGAGGGGCTGGGAATGGGCACAGGGCTCTCCCAGTACCCGGCCCAGCCTCACGCCCTCTCCTCTGCCTGCTGCTGCCAGGGAAGGGGACAAGGGGACATCTGGAGGCACCCCCAGGTGCCCAGTGTGGGCTGAGAGGCGGCTCCCTCCTCCCACTGTGCCCACACAGGGTGCAGGGTCTCACCAATGACGAAGACGGGCATGAAGGCTCCACAGGGCACGGGGATGGTGGTGGCCAAGGCTGACATCCAGAACTGTGGGGCAGACACCCATTAGCTGCCCTGCCTGACCCAGCCCTGCCTCCTGCCCCTGCTGTGACCCTCAGCTGGGTGCTGTGGAGCAGCACGTGGGCACCGCACCCTGCAGTGGGGCATGGGCTCCTCCCAGGGGCACCCTGCCAGCTCCTCCCTGGTGGCACTTGGTGGCATCTGGCCAGCACCTCCCTGGTGGCACCTAGGAGCAAGCAGCCAGAACCTCCCTGGTGGCATGTTGGTGGCTCCCAGCCAAGATCTCTTTGATGGCATGCCAGCACCACCCAGCAAACACCTTGGTGGACTCTTGGAGCAGCCACCCAGTGCCTTCTGGTGCCACCTTTCTGGTAACGATCTGGCACCTCCCTGATGGCATCCAGAAAATCCTCTCCATAACCTCCTGCTGGTACCTTGGGGATGACAGGGGAAGTAGGCACCCACCTTCATGAGGATGAAGACAACAAGTGTGACGAAGACGTTGGAGCGGGGATGGAGCCAGGCCTCCAGGATGCCCAAGTATTCAAACTCATCATTGATCCCCTGCTTGGCCCACGTCTGGTTGTCAAAGAGTGTCACCAGGGTGTCCTTCTGGGTGAGCTGGTGATGGGCAGGGGTCAGCTGGGGCTTGTGGTGGCCCTGGGGTGGGGACTGGTGTGCCACCCCACGGCGGGTACCTGGCCAGCCATGAACTGTCCAAAGCCAGGCGGGAAGGTCAGCGTGGAGATGATCAGCGTCACCAGGGCGGGGAAGAGCAGGCGCCTGGCAGGGTGGCACAGGGCAGGGCGTGATTTTGGTGCAGCCCCAGCTCCACCACCCTGCTGCTGGGGACTGCTGGGCACCTACTTCTTCATGAGGAAGCGGTTGATGGTCTTCTGGCGGCGCATGAACTGCACAATCTTGCGGTTGAGGTAGACAAAGAGGGCGCCCCCGAAGCCGCTGGCGATCCTGGGCAGAGCCAAGGGAAGAGGTGTCCTGCTGCCACCACCAGCACCACCCCTGCCACCCCGGGGCCATGGGATGGGTGCTGGGATGGCCGCACTCACCCGATGACGGCGAAGGCCGGCAGCTCCTGCAGGTCGAAGGGGAAGTCGAGGCGGAAGCGAGTTTTGAACAGTGCCGTGATTGTCTCTGGGGGATGGTGGGGCTCAGTAGGGCTGGGCAGGGGACCCCTGTGCCCTCACCCTGCCTCAGGTACCTTCATCCTTGTTCCAGACAGCAAGGACACGGAAGATGAAGGCGCTGAAGGTGGCAGCGAAGAAGCCGCGCCAGTAGTTGCGGACGGCAAAGAAGGTGGAGGTGACCTCGATGCTGAAGAGGACGCCTGGCATTGGGGGAAGCACACAGGGCAGGTGGAGAAACCTAGGCAGGCCCCCGGCGCCTGGCATGCTTCCCACCCTGAGTCCACACTCGTGCAGAGCCCGCGGGGGTCTGGCTGCCCCACGGACACACTACGGGGACGTCCAAGGGCTTCCCTGGCAAAGCACGGGGCCGGTGCCAAGCCGAGCCCGCGCGGGCGAGAGGGCAGCACAGGGACGTGGGCAGCGACACGAGGGGCGGCACTGGGATGGAGTGGGGTGCACACAGATGGACAGACAGACAGATAGGGTTGAAGGCAAAGGGCAAGGAAAGAGTCAGACACGTCACCAACCTACGGGCAGGGCTCAGCGGGGCTGGAGTGGGGAGCTCCCTGGAGCGCAGGGCGGCAGGGGAGAGGACAAGAGCAGATGTTACACATCTGGGAGGGTGCTGCCCGCTCCTCCCTTCCTCCTCCCTGCTGAGCAGCACTGCCCTCTCCCATGCCAGCTGTCCTGGCGGTCCTGCTTGCCTCTCCAGGTGGGCCCTGCTGCCGGGGCGGGAGGTGTGGGGGTTGTGGGGAGGCCCGGGGTGACCCTACCTCCGATGGGGGCGGCGAAGCAGCAGCCAACACCGACAGCACAGGCAGCTGCCAGCATTTCAATGTTTCTTGCCTCATTCTGTGAGGGAGACAGGAGTGAGTGGGCACTGCCCCCCAACCCTAGGCACTGCCAGCTGTGGGCACGGGTTGATCCTCCTGGGGCCAGCCTGCCTTGCTCACCTCGTAGAAGCCCCCAAAGAGGGAGAGGAAGCGGCTGAGCAAGGTTGCACACATGCTGGCGATGTGGACAAAGGGACCCTGAGAGGACAACAGGAGACTGAGACGTTGCCCTCAGCCTCCCTCCCTGGCCCCCTGCTCACCCTGCCCTGGCACTGCCCTCACCTCCTTGCCCAGGGGCATGCCGCTGCCCAGGGCACACGTCAGGCCAATCACCTTGGCCACAAAGGTCTTGAAGGTGAGGTACTCCTTCAGCACGACGCCCCGCAGGATGGTCTTCATCTCGGGGATCCCTGAGCCTGGTGATGTGGGGACAGCCTTGAACCAACAGCCATGAAGGGGGGACACTGCCCCATGGTTCTGGGGGATAACTTGATGATTTGCCACACCCCACTGCCACGGGGAGGTCCAGGGACACCTCTTCCCACAGTACAATTGGCAGGAACAGCCCCATGATTATGTAGGCACAACTCAACCCACAGCCCCACAGGGACCCCAGTTTCATTGCTCCCAGGAGACCCTCTGAAGATCAGGTCTTAACTTAGGAAGACCCCCAAGTCTGCAAGCCTCACAGCCCAGGAGGAAATCCACCCCTTAACTCACAGGACACTCTCTGAAGACCTCTCTCTCACACGCCTTAGAAGATCCCCAACCCCATAACTCAGGATGGCATCCAAACCATAGTCCCTAGGAGACCCTCTGAAGACCAGCCCATATCCCTAGAAAGACTCCCAGGACCTGCAGGGATACACCCAGGCACAGCCCCAGGGAGTGGACACCCTGTTTAGGGTGCAGGCAGCCCCTTGATGCCCTACCCACGGCCTGGGGAGCAAGGATCTGGGTGAAGCCAGCTGAGAAGGTGATGAGCACGGTGGGGTAGGTGACCCAGGCCATGTACTGCAGCAGCACGTTGGTGTCCAGACCCCCGTACATCCATTTCTGAGCTGTGGGAACAGCCAGTCAGAGGGTGGTGGGTGGCAAGGCACACGGCATGGCCCTATGGCATGGCCACCCTGCCCTGCCATGGCCCCAGGAACCCACCGGCACCTCCTACCTTGGAGGCACGTGGCGATGGCGAAATCCATGGCCCAGCTGACCAGTGCCATGACCAGTCCCAGCAGTATGAGGAAGACCCAGTCCTCGCCCACCTTGGAGATGAGGAACCGCTGGCACTGCAAGGCGCAGACTGGGACACAAGGGCGGGGTCAAGGCTGGATGCCCCAGGGATGGGCACACTGAGGTGGCAGGGGCAGGCTGGCAGCAGCAGAAATGCTCGCAGCCAGCAGCAGCGACCCAGCACAGCTGGCACTGTTTGGTGCAGGAGCACTGCTGTGTCCAGCTGTCACAGCCAGCTGACTCCGCACAGTCACACTGGGCACGCACCTCCCACCAGCACAGCCTCCCTGGCACGGCCCCAGCTAGAGGGGCTGTGGGCCCCCGGGCCCTGCAGCGTGCCCGGCTATTTCGGGCCATTGTGTCCCTGCTGCCCGCCGGGCAGGTGGCATTGTCCTCGGCGCCGGTGTCCCATGACAGCCAGGGAAACCCTACCCGCGCCACCGCGGCGGGGTGGGCAGCGTGTCCAGACCGTGCTGTGCCCACCCGTGCCCGAATCCCGGTGACCCTTACCACGACAGGGGGCACAGCGGCCCTGGGTGTACTCCAGCAGCTCGGAGGGGCGGCGGGGCACGGCCGCGTCCCCCTCCTGCAGCCGCAGCCGCGCTGCCTCATCCTTGGCAAAGGTGCCCAAGTCCTGCGTGTAACGCCCATACATCTGGGGGAGAAGGACAGGCAGCAGTGTCAGGGAGGCTGGTACCCCAAGCCCTGCACCCCAGCGGGGAAACTGAGTCAGGGCAGCAGTGGGCATACTGGCATGGCGTGCCAGGTGAGGGAACAGCCATGGCACCCCAAGGCAAAGGGGTGGAGGCAGCTGTGGGAGTGCCCGACTGCCCTCCAGGGCGTGGGAAGGAGCCAGGCAGATAAGGTGAGTGTGGATCAATGGTGATTGTTTTGCCTGCTTGCCCAAAGCAGGCAGCTGAAACGTCGGTACCAGTCTCTGGCCCTGCCCAGGTGCCCCAGGCACTGCAGCGGGGTGGAGGGTGGGGAAGGGCCTCCAGTGATGGGAGCGTGGCCAGCTTGGCCAGGAGACTCTGAGGGCTGGTACTGGGGTTGTGCTGCAGCTCTGCAGGCACCACACTCCGACACTGCTGAGAGCAAGGCTGGGATACCCCCTCCAAAATGCAGCCTTGGCAGGTCATATGTGACATGAGCTGGCTGGTCTCAGCTGGCAGCGGGGAGGCAAGAGGCCAGTGAGGGCCAGGATGTACCCCCGGTTCCAGGAGAGAGGGAGCACAACATCAATCCCTGGGCTGTGAAGAGGGGATCACATAGGGATCACCCCCCTTTCCTCGGGTGCCTCCTGCCTGGCTGTGGCACGTGGCCTGCCCCTGGCAGGGGGTGGCCCTGGCAGTGCCCCTCATGCTGGCCAGGAGCTCTTTGTGCCCGTCCTCCCCGCTGAGCCGGGGGCATTTGTCCCGCGCTGGCGGGCACTGCCAAGGACTCGGTTGCTTGGTTTCCGCCTCGCTCCCCCCCGCACGACCTGAATGCCAAGCGCCAGAGGTTGGCCCGGCACAAAGGGAGGCTTCAGGACCGTGGAGGCCCTGCCAGGCTCCCTCGTCGGGACAACGTGAGCCCCATGCCGATGGGTGCCCACCCGCCGTGCCGTGCCAGCGCAGCGCGTGGCTGCCCAGCCGGGGCGCAGCCGCCCTGCTCCCCGTGCCCGGGGGCAGCGCCGCGGGTGGGCACCGCGCTCGGCACGTGGGCAGCCCACCCCGGCTGCCCGGGTCCCGCTCACAGCCCCCCGGCCCGCTGGCACACGGCAGCTCCCCTGGGGATGGCGTGAAGGTGCGCTTCTGACGGGCAGCGCTCCTGCCCAGGTCCCTTTGGTAGAGAGCAGAAAGCAGCCAGAGCGGCGCCGGGTGGATTCCCTGCTGTCTAATACCCAGGTTGTGCCCAGCAGCGGGAGGGAGGGTGGGGATGCAGGCAGGGACAGGAGGGTGAGCTAAGTTCCATTGCTGACCCTGTCCTGGCATGGATTTTCCCCCAAACTCCTGCTCAGCATGGGCTCAGCAGCTCCTTGCCCTGTGGGAAAGGCACGACCACCTTGAGGGGCCAAATCCAGCATCGGCTGCCAGAGGAGGACCCCGGCCCCGCACGGGGTCTTGAATTCAAAGGCTCCCTTCGGAAAAAGCTTGTTTGCTCTGGAAGATGAAATGGGCCGGCACCCCAGGAGTGCTGTCACCCTGCCAAGCACTTGCCTGCCTGGCCCCACTGCTGACCCACGGCCAGCCCAAACCAAGATGCAAGCACCCCCAGGCTGAGTGCCCCCCAAACCAGCTCTGTGTCTACTCCTGGGGCTGTGCCAGGGGCTGCCACGCTGTCCCCCCAGGTGCTGGGGCACACGGTGGGATGCCCAGTCCCAAGTGCTCCAGCCTGGTTGAGAGGGTGGGATTTGCTCCCCCTCTGCCTCACTTTGGAGCCCACCCCACTTGTAACAACAGGGATGCAAGCAAAGGGGCCATGCCACCCTCCTGCCACCTGCCACCATGTGCCACCCCATGCCACCCCTCTGCCCCATGCCCCAGCCCCACAGGCAGGACATGGGACCCCTGTGGGTGCCCAGTGCTGAGTAGCCACAGCTGCTGTGCCCACAGCCCTGGCATGGCTGTTCGGGCCAGTGGTGGGCTCTCTCCTTCCTCCTCCTCCTCCTCCTCCTCCGCTTGGGTTATTTTTCCACAAAGGCCTTTTGAAACACAAACAGCCCCGGGACTCCGGCCTCTGCCGTGAAGCAGCTGAACAATCACAGTGCCGGGCGGGCAGGGAGCGGGCACAGGGGGGGCTGGCGGGGGGCACTCGGGGACACGGGCACAGGCCAAGGCCACTGTGCTGGTGCTGAGCTGCTGCGCTGCAGGCACCGGCTGTGCCACAGCCCCCGGGGCTCTGCCAGCCCGCGGCGCCTGCTGTGCCCGGGCGATGCTGCGCCTGGGCACTGGCATCTGCTGCTGCCGTGTCCCCGTGCCAGCCTGTCCCACAGCACTCAGCTGGCCTGGCAGTGGTGCCCACCTCCTCATGGCCACTGCCAGCCATCCTCCCCCCCCAGATTTCCCCTAGGGGAGGTTTTTAAAGGTAAAGGTTTGGGGGGTCCTCTGGGCTGGCAGTGGGCAGGCAGAGGCCAGGGGCTGTGTGTCACGCTGCCCGTCTTAGCCGGGCTCTAATCACCCTGAGCTGCTCTGCAGTGAACAAGGGCAGTTTGTCAAGCTTAATCCCCCCCACGGGGCCCATTGCTCCCTGCCACGACAGCCTGGCATGGGGGGGACACTGGGCCTGATGTGCACCCCAGCACCCTTGGCATGCCAGGGGTTCCCACAAACACCTGCCCACCATGGGGACCCCAGGGAGACCTTGAGTTCTGGGCCCCAACACCCACGGCATCCTGGGGCTGGTGAAATCTGGGGAGGGGAAGGGCATGTGGACATAGCTGGGCACAACCCTGCAGCCTGGCTGTGATGACATGGCTGTGAGCACAAGCAGCAAGAGCTGTCCCCGAGCTGTCCAGCTCACACCAGCCCATGCCAGGCTCCAGCTGGATCCATCCTGGCAGGTGCTGGCAGGAGCTGGTGGTGCCTCTGATGCGCTGGGAAGGGCTGGGCACTCCTCCTGCCCAGCACGTGCCCGGGCAGCTCCCAAAACGCAGGTGTGAGGCTAGAGGACAGGAGCCCGCACCCAGCCTCACCCACGAGCCCCAGGCGCTCCCACGAGCCTCAGAGAGCCCAGAGGCCACGGGGATGGGCACCACGGAGCACCCGGGGCACGGGTGCTACCCTGCCCAAAGAAAAGGAGGGCAAAGTCTGCCGGTGCCGAGCGCGGCTGCCCCGATGCCAGCCCAGCCTGCCTCTCCCCTCACGCGCTGCCGCCGGCTCCTCCGCCCGGTGCCCGCCTGGCGTGGCCTCTCTGCTCACCCACCGTGACCAGGGCGCCCAGGGGGGCCCGGAGCTGGCGGCAGGGAGCGGCACGGCCACCATTCACCCCTGTTCCTGCCCCCGAGTGCTCCCTGACTCAGCCCTGCCGGGAAGGACCGGGGGTCAGCGAGGTCGTGGAGATGACGGCACAGCCGGGGCTCCCAGGGCCGGCTGGTGCCCTGCAGCCACCTGGCAGCGCGGCCTGGGGTGGGCACTGAGGGGCAGCGCCAGCAGCAAGGTTTGGGAGCTGGGAAAGGCATTGCCGAGGGTACGCAGAGCAGCAGTGCCCTGACGCTGCCCGTGCTGGGTGGGTAAAGCTCAGCAGAGCCTGCCCCGCACACACGGCCCGCTCAGGCTCCCTGGGGCAGCCGTGGGCACAGCTCTGTGGCCACGCAGTCCCTGCTTCCCTGCACACCTCCCTGTCCGAATGCCTTTGCCAGGGCAAAGTACCGTCCGCCCCGGGCACCGTCCCAAGCGGAGGCCAGGGAAAAGAACCTTTGCCCGTGATGTCTGAGGGCCGTGGGCAGCGGAGTGGCTGGGAAAACAGCGGGGAAGGAAGACACCCCAGGACAATGGGACACCCTGGTGCCACTGGGGAGGCCTCTGAGGCAAAGGAGCTGTAAACACGGGACTAAGGTTGCGGGCAGGGGAGATAGCGTATCTCGGGGCAGAGGGCCGGGACGGGCAGTGCGGGCAGAGCTGCGTGCCCGCCTGGCGCCTCTGGCAGCCCCGCCGGAGGCTTCCAGAGGAGAAGGGTGCTCCCTTCCCAGGGGAGAGGGGGGCTGCCAGGGGAGTGAGGTGTGCGCACAAATCGTGCCCCGGGGGCTCAGCCAGGCGCCTCCGCAGCCGGAGGGGGCCGGGGGTGCCATCCCAAGCAGGAGGCAGCATCCCCGACAGGGCACGGCAGAGTTCTGCCGCCCCGAGCAGGGCAGCGCCCCCCGACCCCCAAAATCCCCGCGTGTTCCATCGCGTCCCGTGCCACACCGGTGCCCGGTGCCCGCCCGGTGCCCCCGGTACTCACCAGGGTCTGCTCATATTGCAGCGCCCGCTGCGCCTCGCTCTCGGAGGCCATGGTGCCGCCGCTGCCGCCGCTCCGCTCCGCGCCGTCCCGGTGCCGGTGCCGCTGCCGGTGCCCGCGGCGGGCGGGCCCGGGGCACTGCCCGGGGGAGGGATCGGCCGCGCTCCGCCTCCGCCGGTAGCGCCCGGCACCGGCGGCGCCCGTTACCGGACCGGCGGCTCCCGGTACCGGACCGGCGGCTCCCGGTACCGGACCGGCAGCGCTGCGCACCCAGCGCCCGGCTGGGTCAAGAGGAGTCCGGCCGGAAACTCCGTCCTGTGGCGGGACCCCATCCACCGTGGCCTTTGCCCAGGATGGCACCCCTGGGCAAGCGGCGGCGCAGGTGAGGGTGACAGCTGCCGTGGGTGACATGGGCACGGGCCACCTTCCCGGGACACCCTGCTCCCTCTTCCCGCAGGTACAGGGGCTGGCGTGGGGCTGGGCGCTGCTTCCCTCTGGGTTTCCCCGCTCAGATGTGGGATGACAGTGCTAAACCCTGCAGGTGGCCATGCCCGGCTGGGGGACAGATTGGTGGGGGCAGAGTGCCTCAGGTCTGTCTCGTCATGAAGGGCAGGGGGGCACCTGTCGATGCCCGAGGAGCGCGGGGCACCTTGGCACCGTGGGGACTTCACCAGGCAAAGGTGTCAGGGAGCTCATCCTTACCGTGATGCTGCTCAGCGTCCCGGGACTGCCAGCCCCAGCCAGAGAGGTGGGCTCCAGTCTTCCTTGCTGAGCTCGCTGGGCAGCAGGGGCTCAGTCCTCTCCAGAGAGGCACACGGGTCGAGCTTGGCACCGGCAATCCTTGGGGAAGGAGCTCTGGCATGGCAGGCTGGCTGCCCCACCACCGCCACGGGCTCGGGGGCGACGCAGGCAGCTGGCAGGGCCACGCTCACCCTCCTGCCCAGGGCACAGGATGGCACTTTTGTGGCAGGAACTGGGTGCAGGGAAAGCCAGAGCTGTGGCACTGCTGGGCTGATGCTGCGGGATCAGGAACGGGCTGGTTCTCACTGCCCAGGTGCCACCCTCTTGTTTGACGTCGGAACCCTCCAGGGTGGGTGACATGGCTGGGCTGGGGGCTGGGAGATCTCCTGTGCCAGTCTGGGAGGGGTCATTGGCCGACATGAACCAGTTTGAGGCAGGGAGGTGACAAAATGGGTTCCCGCTCATTGTATCCCCAGGCACGGAGCTCCCTCTTGCTCGTCAGCTCCTGGCACTGCCCCGTGGCAGCAGGGATGTTCATCCGGAGGGAAAGCCCTGTGCCAGGGCACATGCTCTGCCCACTGCCACCAGTGTGCCTGGCGGTGGGCCACCAGCATGCTGCAAGGCCACCACAGGTGATGCCACCCTGCTGGCACAGGTGCCCGCGTGGCTGTGGGGGCGTGCAGGGCAGGACACCCAGCTCAGCATGCAGCCCTCTGTCCCAGCCCAGTGTGCCCCAGTGCCATCCTTGTATTGCTCTAGCACTGCTCCAATCTAGCCTAGTGCCACCCTGGCTGCAGCCCCAGTACAGGCTAACACTGGCCCATACAGTGTCGTGGCTGTGCCACCATCCCTTGCTGCCATCCCAGCAGAGCCCAGTGTTACTTACCCTACAGCTCTGGCACTGTTCCAGTATAGCCCAGTACAGCTCTGACTGTCCCAGTCATCCCAGTGTATACCAGCAGGGGACAAATGGCCCCAGAGATCCCTCAGCCCTCCTGGTCAGGGCTCAGAGGGGAGGTGGCACATTGGGTCTCCCGTGGGCCCCACGAGGTGTTAGCCCAGTGCAGCTGTACCGGGGTCAGGGGGGTTGTGCTGCCCCAGAGCACGCACAGGGCTCTGCCCTGCACAGCCATGGGCGCCTGTGCCCAGCCCTGGCACGAGCTGGTTATGGGGGCTGCAGGACAAAAGCTTCCATGGGTGGCAGCCAGGCTGGGGCCCCAGGCTGGGCTCTTTTTGTCACCGTGGAGGTGTGAGGAACAGAGTCCTGCCGTCCCTGTGCTAGCAGGCTCCATCACCAAGCACTTGTTGGCAGCCTCCACCCTGGGCAGGGGTTGGCATCGTGGCTCCAGCTGTGGGCACTGTACAGTGCTCTGGTCTTCTCCAGTGCCACCCCACAGCCCATAGGGGTGTCCTCATCCTGGCATCGGCTTTCACACCCCATATCCCCAAATATACATCCCCAACCCCAGCAAGGCCAAGGCCTGCAAGTCCCCCATGGGATGCAAGGGCACAGCCCTGTGCCTGCTGCTGCTAGGAAGAGACAGGAACCAGGTGGGCAATAGCTCTGGTTTTAATAAATACATCTTGACCTCCATCCACTGGCACCATAAATTATGTGAGAAACCCGGCCGAGGCAGGGTGGGTGCAGTGAACAGGGGCCAGAAGGACTTTACACTATGTACAACGTGGGCACGGTGCCCGCCGGCCGGGGGGCTCGGGGTGCCAGGGCAGCGGTGCCCCGGCCTCCACGAGCCTGGCCACTGCCCACTGGCACCAGTGGGTAGGGCAGTGCTGGCATTGCAGTCGTGCTGAGATGGGGTGCCCAGGCTGGGGGCCAGGCCTGTGCACCCCGCTGTGCTCCTCTGTGCCCCCCGCCCTGCACGGGCAGGGGCAATAAGCAGTGGGGCCCCCAGTGCCACCCAGCGCCGCCGCGTGCTTGCCCAGCTCTGGGCAGCAGCCACTGCTCAGTGGCTCCGTGACTCCAGCTTGGCATCGTGGACCTTCTCCCGTGCATCTGAGGGGGCATCAAGGGCTGGGGGGAGGAAAGTGTGGCTGAGATGGGCACAGGGGGTGCCAGGAGGGCACTTGGGGTGGTTGTGCCAGCCCTGGCTCAGCACCAAGGAGAGCAGGAGGTGCAGGGGCTGCCACGGGGTGTTTGGGCAGTGTGTGAGCACTGCACTCACCACGGCACTTGGCACAGCAGGGGTTGTCCCTCGTGGCAGGGCTGGCGCAGGCGGATGGGGGGCACTCCTGGCGCTGGCAGTGCGTCTCCCCGGACTGGGGAGCAGAAAGAGGGGCTGGGCACCAGCGTGGGGGGACAGCAGCTCCTCAGGTGCGCTGGCTGTCCGGGCTGCTGCTCTCCCACCCATTCCCACAGCCCTGGGGACTGGCACAGTGACACCTTCCCTTCCCCTGGAGCTGCCCTAGGCTGGCACACTCACCACACACCAGCAGAGGATACACTTCATTTCTCCAAAGGGGGGCACAGAGGGGTGCCAGCTCTCGTTGTTGAGGTACCAGCGGCGGCCGAAGCGGCACGCCCGCGGCGCGTCCGCCTGCATGGAGTCAGCCAGCTCCGGGACACTCTTCTCTGGGGCTGCAGGAGAGGGCACTGGGAGATGCCCGCCTGTGGCATTGCCCGTGGGGGCACACAGGAGCTACGCAGGGAGAATGGAGGGCAGGAGCGGGGGGCGGGTACCTGGGCACTGCTTGCAGCAGTCAGAGGGGCTGGCGCGCACGGGGTTGGCACAGGTGAGCCGTGGGCACTGCACCTTCTCGCAGTGCACTTCACCTGTGGTGCCCTGCGGGGAGGCCACAGGGCAGTCAGCTCCCCGTGCCCTGCTTTGAGCCTCAGCTACAGTGCCTGGAACTGAGAGCACCCACAGGTGCCAGACCAGGCTGGGGGCAAGTCTGGAACCCACACCCACCTTGCAGGTACAAATGGCACATTTGATGAGGCCAAACGGGGGCACGACAGGGTGCCAGCGAGTGCCAGAGCCTCGCCATGTCTTGTCGCCGTCGAAGTAGCAGCCTGGAAGAGGAAGAAGAAGAGGAAGAAGAAGAAGAGGAAGTCACAGCCCTTATGACTCAGCCTTTGCAGAGCTGCCCCTCAGCCCGTGCCCACAAGGACTCACCCTCGCTGCTGTCCCGTGCCCGCTCCAGCTTCAGCTCTTCCTGCTCTGTCTTCTTCTCTGCAAGGAAGAGGGGGGCCATGAGGGGGTGCACACGGTGCCAGCAGCAAGGTCTCCAGAAGGGACCCCTGCCTTGTTTTCACAAGAAGTCCCCAGCCCACCCCCCAGGTACCTTCACAGATGGGGCAGCACAGCTCCTCGGGGTGCACCTGGTGGGTGCAGTTGAGGGGCTGGCACAAGATGGGGTCGCAGATCACTGTGCGCTTCTGGGGACAGCAGAGATGGGGCTCATTAGAGAGGGGCATTACTGATGGGTGCTGCCCCTTCAGCACAACCCCCAGCTCGTACCTGGCAGCTGCAGATAGAGCACTTCTTGTCGTAGTCAGGTGCCCAGCGGGTGCCATGTGCCCGATGCTGACCCTCAAAGAAGCAGGAGTTGGGATCCTTCTTCAGCTGCTCCAGGTCCCTGCTCTTGGTGCTCTCAGAGAGCTCAGCCTGCCCCAGGGACTCCCCTGGTGCCAGGCGGGTCCCCCCTGCATGGCACTGGTTGGGAATGTGCACCTGGAGGGGGCAATGAGCAGGACATCACTTCCCATGCTGATGCCTGCCTGCCTTCCATGGTCAGGCTGGTGAAGGAACCACCCACGACCACAAAACACGCCAGGCTGTACTGCAGGGACCTGGTACCAGAGTGATGCTGTGCCCTTCACCCTGCTCCAGGCAGTGCCACCGGCCGCAGGCAGCAGTGGGGTGGGGGGGTGCCCTGCCCCAGTGAGGACCTACCCGTCCCCGCATCTCCCCGTTGGGGTGTGCTTTGGTGCTGACTTGCAGGAAGGCAGTGCCCTGGGCCAGGTGCTGCAGCAGGTCGGCATCCAGGTCCTTCACCACGCCCTGAGCCTGTGGTGGCGAGAGGGGCACCAGGGTGGGGGTGAGGTCTGGCCCAGCCCCTGCTGTGTGGTGCCCTGGCCGGGTGCCCACCTCACCTCAGTGCTGTAGAAGCCCTTGAGCAGGCGCTTGTGCTGGTGGGGGCGGGTGCCCATGTCCCCCAGCTCGGCCACCCCGTGGATGTGGGCACTGACGGTGCCGTCGCTCGGCCGTCCCAGCCCCGCCACTGAGATCTCGTAGTGCAGGTGGCAGTGCTCGTCCAGGGAGAGCCAGGCATGCCCCCCGGCACCGCTGAGCACAGGGGGGGACACCAGCTGCCCTGCCAGCGCCACGGGCATCTCTGTGCACAGACAGGGACCGTGGC